ACGCGGTTCAAGGTTTTGTACACGGTCACATTATTAGGAGAGGATTGTACTATGGTGGGAGCAACTAGTAATATAAAAATCATTATCWCAAAATTTCAGGACCATACTCTAAGAAWTCGAGTTGGATATGTGTTATTTCAAATACACAATTTTATATACTTTGATCAATACTCCAGTTTCGAATTCTCTTTTGTGCAAGCATAGCTTCAATCAAGCATAAATTTGTAATGTCTTATTTTTTGTACACAGAGCGTTTGCATTACAATAGATTCTCTGTTGAATAAAAGAATATATTACATGCTTTCGAGGWTAAGACTGMACGAATAAGATCTCGAAAATGGAGTATTGTATCAAAGSATTCTAGAAATTGATTACAGCGGAAATCGTTACATCGCGACCTCATTGTTTTGAAGTTTGTCTGGATTTTGTTCTTTCTGTCAATCTGAGGGACGGAGCTTTTCGAAGACTCGTTCAATCACTGGCTGATTAGTATCAAACTCCGCCCCCAAGTCGCAGGAAAACCTAAATCCCAACTATTTCCTTTGAACATTGAAGTCGCGATGCAACGGTTTCTGCTGTAAGTCATTCAATTGCCACTTACTGACAGGAGAAAAATTAAGCACTACCAAAGCTAGTACACTCCCTTGGTTGTTGATTCCCTTGCACATGTAGGGTCCCTTATCTTCTCTCTTTGTATTCGTGATAATAAGTCGATTACCAGATTTTACATGCCGTCCTTTAGGCATGGCTTTCTGTGCTCGCGTMMACTCGATCTGCGGAGAAGGAAACCCAAATATATTGCATGTGATGGTTGTGTTCCAGTCTTCATAACCAGCGACGTAAAGTGGAGGCAGAACCACAAATCGTGGAGCAACTATTTCAAAGACAAGGATATATTGATATTTTTCAAGACATTCTAATGCGCGCGCTAAAAAAATATTAGAAGTATCTTGCGCCTTAACAATCATTCCCTCAATTTCTTATAAAGAATGTTTTGAGAAGGGGTTTGTAAAACCCTGGTGTTTGAATTAAGGAATATAAAATGGATTTCCGTTTCTGATACTCTGAAAAAAACACTGGGGATGCAGAGAGAAAAGGAGAGAAGCGTACGAAACCGAGACTCGATCGAACCTTCAATTGACAATTCACCTAAATTAACACATTTGGATTAATGAACTCGAATGTACTTTTAAGAACTGAACTTGGACTCACTTGCTAGATACACCCTCTAAAAACGAAATTGAAACTAAAGCTAGTATTAGTTTTCTAATCGACATTACCATTGACAACAAGTTTCATTTTCGCTGTTGCTTGACCAATGAAATTCTTTGCTTTCAATAAGTAAACACCATGGTCTTCGAACTTGACATTGTTTATTCGTAGAGCACCAGTTGCATAGAATCGGTCGTCTACTTTCTTGTTGTCTTTGTACCACGAGATTTTAGGTTTAGGAAAACCAGAGGCTTTGGACGGAATGACCACATTATCGCCTTCTTTGGTAACAAGAACAGATGGAGGTCTTTTGGTTATTTTTGGAAGAGCTTACAAAAAAGATTAAAAAGTACATGAGCTTGTATATTTTACATTTATTTACTATTGAATAGTTCGTGTTGGTTTTATATTTTGTTCTTCTCAAATACTCACCAAGTGAATGGATAATCGATGAAGATTTTCCAGAGAGCGTTCTTCCTGGCACTCCCCTCGGTCCCTTCGGACCTGGTAGTCCAGGTGGACCTTGTATTCCAGGAGATCCTCGCAACCCTCGTTTACCACGTCGTCCCCTTTGTCCACTTGGTCCTTTCGGCCCTTGTGGACCCGGTGCTCCGGGTGGACCTTAAATTATCAAATGGAAATTTTCTCTTCACAAATATAATCAATAAAGAGATTGATGGAATAGTGAAGAAGATTTCATACCTCTAACACAAACTGGTTTACTTGATGGTTTTGACGATTTTAACTATGAGATAAATAGCAGTTCTATTAAGGCACCCTGCCTTTGGTTTATTCACTCATATAGGTCACAAATTTGGCGAGTCTGTCACTTGATATGTACACTATATTAGACTTCTTTGGAAATGTCTGTAAACTTTCACGAATAAATATTTATATCATTGTCAAGTTTGCTTATTTCACAGAAATTGTGTTGCTGTTTGCTTCTTGTTCCATGTTTAGCGTCAATATATTAAGACTTGACAGAATATTGAGAATTTGTAAATGACGTATTGTTTTACATCGGCAAAAAACGAATGAGATCGTTTACATTGTATCCAAAAATATCGTGAAATCTCTTGTTTGTTCATTAAAAGTCATAGTGACAATGCAGAATTAGGTATACCTTTTTTGATGATCCAGACGAGAAGATTTGCGTACAGAGATCTCTGCATTTGGTACAAGCACTAGTTGGATCTCTCGAGCCATTGTTAGCCGCTCTTGGCAAGCGATTTTTATGTACAATAGCGTCTGGATCTGTTTTCTTGATTTGCTCACATCGAACGATTCGTTCATCCAAAGTATGCACTCTGTAAGTCAAATACCCGACAGACAGTATTGTCAGGGCTAAATTCAGCAATACACCAAGCTGAAGTATACAACTCGTTTTAGATTTTCCACTGCCCTCCATGACGTTATGAATTTGCCAAAACGTGCATGTCTTTTATTTTCCACCTCTTAGTAATTTGAGTATTGATCTAAGTAAAGGTCATGGAAATAGTAGAACTGATTCAGCAATACCGGAAGTTGCTATTAGATTCCGTGAAAAAAGGAAATAAATGTAATTTAAGCTTTTAAAAAAACCTCTATAGTTTTTGGATCGACTTTGCACGAATTGCAACGTTTCCGGAACATCAAGATCAAGTTTATTTGATTTTTTTTTTGAGTTACATGAATGAAGTGTTGACCTGCAAAATGGCGTATTTACTTTTATATTTTTACTATTTTTAAAAGGGAAAAATTACATTGTTATGTTTATATGGATTAAATTATCGCATGAAAAAAAGGAACTATGAAAGAAAAGAAAAAAAGAAAGAAAAGAAAAGACCGAGCGTAGCGTACGAAATCATATTTTCTAGTTCGACATGAGTGCAGTTGGGGGTGGCTGTGTCAGCATAAATATCATGAAGAAGCAAGACATCAAGTAACTTGCTCTGTAAAGCCTTTCTGAAATAAGAAATGACTCTAAAGACTATTATTCACATAGACCACATAACATAACATAACATAACATAACATAACATAACAGCATAATAAATATTGCCGTAATTACAAAAAAACATATACCAACATCCAACTGTTTTGAATTATCGATCTGTCGTTAACAAAAAAAGAGCCAATAACTACAACTTTACTTTTCTTCCAGGTATATCGTTATGTCGGTGGTCTCGTCAGGTCGCCCTTATGAACCAGGCTGTGTGGCTCTCCCACAACGTAACAACATGATAATATTGTAATATTCTCTGTATAGCACGAGATGTTTGTACGGTGTCATCACTGAGGTTTAATATTTCCGCGATATAACATAACAGCGGAATTCTTTGTATCGCAAACCAACGTTGCAAAGCTCAGTCTGAATTTGTGTTTTTCTGATCCGTCAATCATCTGGCGTCTGTGAAAGGTAGCTGCGAACAAGGCTTTGGACTTTTACACATAAAAGCTATTAAATATTACGTTTAAACACAATCTATTAGTTCTCCGTAATCTATAAAGTAAAAAACATATAAGAAACACCTTCAACTTCAAAACAATTCAACACACATGAGAAAACTACTAAAAAAACTCGAACTCCTAGAATATATTTTCCATGTTTAGTACTGAAAAGTTTACAGTTAAGAGAGGTTAAAATATTGAATTTTATTTTGAAACGGATTTTTTTGTAAGCGCTAACAAGATATCTAAAACCAATCGTTAGAACTGGACTTCACTTGTGTTCGTATCAATTACTGGTCATATAGTACTTATAGCTAAGTTTACATTCGTTCTTATTTTCGTTTTCTTTTTAATTCAATACTTTTGTGTTCAATTTTTTTTTTCACAATTTTACCAAAACAATATCTAATACAGTCAACGCTCGTCATTACAGACACCCTCGGGACCGTACCAGTGTCCACAGTAGCGAGAGTCCGTAGCAGCGGGAGTGTTACTTTCAGTCATTTCTTTGCATTTTTCGCCTCTGATTCAGTATTTTACTGTGGACAATATAGAGGTGTCCGTTGTAGCGGGGTGTCCGTAAGGCAAAAGTTGACTGTTATTGCTTAAATATAGGATCAGCCCTCATTAGTAGTACAGAGTCTGTAGGAACTTCATACAAGTATATATTTTGATAAAGTACAGGATATTACGTAAGCGCACGATGACACGGATTTTATCTTCGAGTGTTGAAAAAATCTCTTACGAGTGACATTGCGACGGATTTTCAACACAAGAAAACAGAGAAAATAAAATCCGTATCTCCAAGCGACCATATGATATTCTGTTTATCATATAAWTATCTATAAAAGCAAACTATCTCTAAAAAAAACTTGTGTTAACTTCCAATATATAGGGGTACAACGAATCAGTTATTTTCACTGTGAAATTAACAACTTTACGGAAGGGATAAACTTACTTCTGGGCACTTTTTYTCAATTTCAATTGTCAATTTTGTTCACATTTTCCTTGCATGGTTTGAAATTGAGATCCGCCTCTAAATTTATCACAGCCGCATAAATTTGACAAAATGTGTACTTGGTCTGATGCCAGTCACGTTATAGTGCGTTTCTATAAAAAAATAGTCCTAGCTATTTCTATGTAATTTGATATCAAACGAGAGAAATAAACGTTATAAAAATTAAGGAAACATTAAAAGATAACTAGTTGCTCCATACATTTTACTACAAATATGCAAATTACACAACTATCACAATAGTCGAGTTTCGAGATCTCTTTTACACTGTGTTAGCCTCAATTGTGTGCTAAAATATTCAGAAATTTAGATAAAACTCGTGAGATTTCAAACTATTTCCATTGTCTTCTATATATACTCATAGATCTCTTGCATTTGCACGGGCTGTTGTGAATAAAAGAATTTATTACATGGTTTTGAGGCTAACACAGCGTAAAAGAGATCGCTAAAAGGGTTTATTGCAATGCATAAACCTGATCGGCTTACGCGTTGTCATGTACGTTACCACCCAATTCAAATCCTGTAGTAACAGAAAAAGAACTTTGTTTCTAAGAATTCAGCTGTGAAATGAAAATACAAAGAAACAAACTTACTACCGGGTGGTTTGAACTGGATGGAAACGTTTGTAACAACGCATTATTCGATAAGTCCATTTCCTGCAAATATCGTATGTGTTAAAAGTGACATCGATATATTATGTGGGATCCCTGTGTTTTGTTAGTGTTTCTTTCACCTAAACGTCTAAGCCATCTTGTCGAAACACTTCGACCTCGTCTGGCTGAAAGTAGTACGATCCTGCAAGAAGGTTCTTTGCTTTAGTTGATCGATATGTGTAGCCCTTAATCAGTACATAGCTATGTCCAAGGTTCGTATAGGAGTTTGTGTTGCTACCAGCATTATCACTAATATATATGTCCCAGCCGTATCCAAAGGTTGGTCCGTCGATGCTACGTCCATAAATTGCATACTGTGATCTGAAAACTTTCATTTTAAATGGCTTCAAGTTATCTTTGTTTACGAATGAAAACAGGAACGAGTTCACTGATTTGCTGTAAGAMYYTYTGGAATCTTTAAAAAAGAAAACAATTATAATACGTTATTGTGAGCATAAAAAAGCTGTACCAATGTGATGGATGTTCTGTGTTAACCCCCGAATATAGCAAAGATAAACAACTGGAATACTTACGCCAGCTGACGTCTGTATAGCCTCCAAATATGTATTTGTTCACTTTGATGATTGTAATAGTCGGGCCTTTACCATCGCACTTTGCGTGGAATGTTCTGCTGGCCCATCCGTGATGTCTGCTTTGGTAGCATGGTACCCATCTTATTGGCTTGTTTGTCACTGGAGCCAGCCATTGTTTCATCAAATCATAGTAATGCTCTCGATTTTTAAGAATGATTGAATAATACCTCTTATAACCTGGAACATTGTTAAGAAAAACTCAATTTCATCGGATCCTCAGTATATACCTATCTCAAAAAAAGTTGTCGGATAAAATGGCGAGAATGTCAATTGTCGAACGACGATTGCACGACCGAGAGTAGCCATGGGTATTTTGGTGTATTTAATGAGAAATAACAGCTGATTTATAAAATAGTCTGTGGTAAACATTGGTTCCATTTAGTCTCCATTTCTTTGAAATAGGTATATTCACTGATTTGGGAAAGGAGCTAATAACATTCTTTAGTGCTACTTCGTGCGAATTTGTCACAACGAGCTGCTCTTTTCAGGGCCGTAGCCAGAGTAAACAGGACAACCGAGGCAAGCGACCGCCGATGGCGGGAGAAACTAGGGGGGTCTGGGGGCATTCTCCCCCTAGAAAATTTCAAATTCAGTCTCTCGGAAATGCAAGTTGCAGCGTTTTGTGGGCCTTTTAGTAACTCTTTATTGAACAGATTTAACCGGAATTCATCATGCAATATTTATGAAACAAAGAAGCTACACGTACAAAAGTACGTACAAAAATAACATTATTTTTATATTTTTTGCACAAAATCAGTCGTACGAAATCGGCTCTGAGAGGCTAAGATAATATTAGTGATGAAGAACAAAAAGCATCGGCAAAATTTTACCGAGGCGAGTGCCTCGGTTGGCCTCTTACTAGCTACGGCCCTGCCTTTTTTAATGTTTTGCATTACACAGTGCACCGCCTAATTCCTTAATTTGTGCGAGAACAGTACTAGATTGCATATGCTAAACGATGAGAAGTTTGACGTGCTAATATCTAAAAGAGCAAAATAAAAATCCGAAAAAATCTGCATTCTTGTATAAGATTTTCAAGACCGATGCCTGGCTGTTCTGCTTTGGGAGAGGCTAAGGTTTAATATGTGGCTTTACAACTTCAAAGGAGTCACTTTTAGGTACGTACTGTTGAATGCTATTAGAGTGACTATAACGTGGTTTAAAACTGTACTAGTGTACTCGCATCTAGTATTGTAGCAACACAAATTAATAAGAAATATACAAAATATGAGCGGCAGGCCTTTATGGGCATTTAAAACTGCGAGCTGCAAGCGAGCAGTTTTATAGCCCATAAAGGTCGGGCGCGAATATTTATATTGCTTATCAAATTCCAACATAAGGTAAAATATCATTTGTAAGAGAAAATCGAAGTTAAAGTCGTATGCAAATCAGGACAAATCTCTTGCTCATATAAAGATGCGGTCACGGCAATGATTTTCCATTGTGTTTACCTTATGAATTATTAATGAATTTGATAACTCCTTTTAAACATTTAGCACACGTGGCGAGGTCGGCGCGAACTGAAAGGTCAAGGCACATGGCAAGGAAAAGTGATACCTCGGTCATGAGCGCAGAGCGGCTAATCACCATGCTTCCTGAATAAATGTTTCATTTGTTAAATTATTAAAATAATCTAATAAATTGTACATTTATTCAGGGGCCTGTTGAATGTTCAATATTGGTCTTTTATGAGGTGCATATATATAGTTTTTTTTATGGAAAGTGCGGCGTACGGAATTTTATTCACGAGTTACCACTTCGTGTAACATACCGTGTCCAGGCTATACTTATATCAGCGCCGCGATCGATTTGATAGATTTTCTGTATTTTCTTTTCAAATCTATTTTTTTAATAGTTTTGTTAGCATTGCAGGGAAAATTTAGCATTCAGATTGCATTCGCATTATCCTCAAAGAATTTATAGGATGAAAGTTTGCTTTGCATTAAATTATTTTAGAAAAAAAGAACGAGTATATATTATAAAGTTAAAGAAAGAAAGAAAAAAAAGAAAAAAAAATGTTTAGAAGCTGCTCGAGTCGAGAATCGAATCCGAGATCGTCAGTTCAACGCCGCTATTGAAGTATGATCTTACGTGTAAAATATCTAAAACAAATAACAACAGGAAAAAATAAGAATAAGTATATTTCAGTAAACAATGAAGGAAAGAAAAAAGAATCGCTTAGAAGTAATCGCGTCGAGAATCTAGCTAACCGTTAGCCGCCTAAGTTCGACGCTTTTCAAGTACGATAGTCTATGTGAAAATCAAAACAACGGCTCGAAAATAATTTTTTTAGGAATATTTACAGAAAAAAATTAGCATGACTATAACAACTTCATTTCAGTTAAACAGAAAGAAAACATGAGTCGAGAATCAAATCCGTGATCCTAAGTTCGGCGCTATTCGAATTTAATAATGGCTCGAAAATAATGATTAAACAAAATCTACAGAAAATCAAGATGACTATAACAACTATATTATATTTAAAAAGAAAAAAAAGTGCTCGAGTGGGATTCTAACACGCGATCCTTTTTTCGACGCCGCTGTTCAAGTATCATTTCGCTTCTAAAATTCAACACACGCAGCTCGTAAATATTGATGAAACAAATTGCTACGATAAAAATCTAACATGACCACAACACTTATATTTCAGTTAAAAAAAGAARGAAAGAAAGAAAAAAATTTTCAGAAGTGCTCCAGTCGAGGACCGAACCTTGGAACTCTGGATTATGGGTCCCTTGGGATTGCTAAACTGCGACGTGAAAAAAAAAATGAAAATGAAAATAAGTCGCTGTATCTTATAACCGTGCAGCAGGTCTTCGGCCTGGACACGACAACGAGCGAGGAACGAGTGAGCGAGTGAGTTTATGATGCAAACAACGAGTGAATAAAATCTCGTACAAAGCACTTTCCATGCTATAATCTGGTTATAAATATAACGAGACTTTCATTCGGCATACATTTTAATAAGCTTGTTCAACTATTATGAGAAACAAACTCAATATATGGTTATTTTTGCCATTTACTCAATGAAAGTCTCGTTATATATATAATAAATATGAAAGCAACATGTTTTAAAGCCTTACACATCTTGAATTAAGAAAATAGTCACGAAAATAAAGCGAATGCTTAAATGATAATCTCGAGGCTTGTGACTGGATATCATAGCAAAATGGTCGAACATATATTCATAAAATAAACTTGAATATCGACATGCATGCCTTCATATGAAATATTTTCAAGTAAAACTTAAAAGAAGGAATAAACTGAACCTACATGATGGAATGAAGTCGCTCCATGCACCATTTTCCAGGCAAAGTCGGTTGGATGGTCCCACCAAGTAGTAACCAGGATCACAAGTATAAAATACCATATTTCCAGCCCAGAACTCATTGCCAGTGCGATAGCCATTCAATGGTTTTCCAGGATCACCACAGCTCATTAGGGCTTAAACAATAAAAAAAAATTATCCTATATTTTTGTGAATTTTTGGACTCTTTGTGATATATTGTTGGTTGCAATCTGTGTGTGGTTATGGTGTAAATGTTTTCATTTCCTAATGCCCTAAAGTAAACTTTTATTGTTCCTAAACAAAGACTGGTTTTGTAGACTTAGGCCTACATTACATTGGTAGAATCGTTCTTGAACTTACAGATTTGTATTGTAGTTTCGTCCGTTCCATTCTCGTAGTTTCTAAAAAAGCATTTGTATCGTCCTTGGTCTTGAGGCATGAACGAATCAATGACCAACTCGCCTATAGTTTCTTTATTGGTCTGGCGAACTGTAGTGTTTACAGATAAAGGTCGGCCATCTTTGCTCCACTCGATCGTTGGCAGCGG